AAGCGGCTCTGCACGGCATTACTAGATGTTTTGAGGAAGCGCTCTTTAATAGACAATATGCTGTGGCATGTTTTATGGATATTGAAGGGGCTTTTAATCAAACACCTAAGGATGTTTTTATTAAAGGGATGCTAGATCATGGTGTGGATGCGACGGTGGTCAGATGGATTGATAAGATGCTGTCAGATAGAATTCTTACGACGGAATTTGGTGGAATTACCGCTGGTGGTCTGGCGAATAGAGGTTGCCCGCAGGGAGGAATATTGTCACCAATGCTGTGGTGTCTGGCGGTTGACTCGCTTTTAGAGAAGCTAAGATTGAATGGATTTCAAGTTTGGGGATACGCGGATGATATCGCAGTAGTGGCAGTGCATGAGGATGGAAGAGCGGCTAAACGATTGATAAACTCTGCGTTAAGATTAATGGAAGACTGGTGTTCGGAGACGAATCTATCGGTAAATCCAACTAAGACGGAGTTACTGGTGGTGACGCGGAAGAAAAAGAGACTGAATGTTCAGGGAATCAAATTGAATGGTGTCCAATTGACGAAATCGGATCAGGTGAAGTATTTAGGAGTAACTTTTTCTAGCAATCTCTCTTGGAGAGTACAGGTTGAGAGAACGGTCAACAGAGCGAGAAAGAATTTGGCCACTATTAGCAGAATGGTTGGGAGTACGTGGGGGCTTACGCCGGCTGCGGCACACTGGGTTTATAGTTGTATAATCTTGCCACGTTTGTTCTTTGGTGCTGTGATTTGGTGGGAAGGTGTGCAGAATCTTAAAATAGGAAATAAATTGGAGAGTTTACAGCATGTAGGACTGAAGAGGATTTTAGGAGCGTTTCGATACTCTCCAACAAGAGCGATGGAGGCAATGCTGGCGATGCCGCCGCTCTTATTTCGTATAGAAGAAGTGGCGATCCGAACGGCGAAACTTCTACGAGATTGGGGTAAATGGCAGTCGACGGATAGAGGTCATTCTTCTGTGCTATTGAAATGTATACCTGAAACAGAGAGAAATTTGTTAATGACTTTGGATTCTGCGACGGACAAGATTAGTCTGACGTTTCGATTTGGAAGAAGATTTCGAACGATGATTCCTGGGAGGGATGAATGGAAGAATGGTAGGTTGGAAAGGTTTACAGGATGGAATGAATGGTTTACAGACGGCAGTAAGGACGAGGAGAGTGTTACTGGATGTGCATGGGTTTCGGGGTTGTCAGGTGAGAACGGATCGGAATATTTAGGGAAATTTGCTACGGTTTACCAGGCGGAAGTTGTGGCTGTATTGAGGTGTGCGGAAGGTTTGATTAACAGAGGGATCAGAGGTGAGAATATAATTATTTTTACTGACAGTGAGTCGACGGTAAAAACTATGGAAAGATCCAGTTTTAAGTCAGCAATTGCATTAGAATGTTGTGACACTTTGAATAAATTAGCTTTGGTTAATAGGAAGGTGATTCTGAGTTGGTGTCCTGGACATAGGGGAGTTGCTGGAAACGAGGAAGCTGACAGGCTTGCGAAATTAGTGGTGAAGGAAGGAAGACCGGGAGTGGAGCCGTGGTTACCAGTATCGTATGCGGGATTCAAATCGGAATTAAAGAGATTCTCGCTCTCTCGATTGATTAATAGATGGTCTGGCACGACGAATTGCAGGCAAGGAAAGGAGATGATCGGAGAAATTAACGTGGGTAAGGCTAAGATGATTTTAAGGATGAATAGAGCTGATGTGCGAATTTTAACATATGTTTTAACGGGGCATGCTCCGCTGAGATATCACTTATTTAGGATGGGAGTTCGGGATAGTGGACACTGTTCCTGCAACTCGGGTGAGTTGCAATCTGTGGCACATTTGCTGTTTCAATGTGACAAGTTTATAAGGAAAAGATGCGAGATTTTTGGTACCTTAGAATTGCAGGATCAAGCTTGGGATTCGTTGTCATATGAAAAATTGATTAGATTTTTCAGAGAAATTGATCAGTGGGATAGAGTGGCAGGGGCTCTGATTTAATTTAGGAAATTGTGGTTCGTCTTAGAATGACTTTTGTTGTATAATCAATGAAATAAGGAAGGATGTTAATTCGATTCCTTTTTTGTTGTTGGCGGCCGAGAGGAGGATAATAGATGCTACAGGAGAACTGGAACAGGAGGGGCGATCGAGAAAAGACGCAATGGATCTATTGGATGTACTGAGGAGAAAAGGAAGACAATTTGTATGTATTAGCAGAAAGGGATCTGGGGCTGGGGCTGAGTTGTATGAAATTGAGAGGTTGATAAAAGGAAGAGGGTTGAGTTGTTTTGATAATTAGGATTGATCTATTAGGGAATGTGTTTTATATTTAGGTCAGAATTAATGTGGGATTACTATGTATACTCGGTTTGGCTTGGTCCTTTGAATCTAGTGTTGATAAGGGGTATTTTACATTATTTGTCTATTCTTTTCACTATAAGACTGACTTAATTAATTATGAAGGGGATAGGAAATGAGGTAAATAAAAATTGGTTACCTTATTTTTATTAGAGGGTTCCTCTGGTTGAAGTTGTTTTATTTTTCCTTGAGTTATTACTATCTTTCATACTTATTAATCATATTGAAGCAGTTGTTAACCTTCTTATGAATAGCTTCTGTGATTAGATGTGACAGCGAATTTTCTGATTCTGAAATGAAGAGGAAAGTTAACATTGGTTTTATAAAATAAAACTTTGATAATGAATAACATCCTATATTGAGAGTTTGGTTTTTTCCTTGTCCAAATTGGAGCATGAATTCTTGGAACTGGAGTGTTATGCAGATAGTCTTCTTGGTGACATTTATAGGTTATGTTGATGCTGAAGGAGTAGAGGGAAGTTATGTTTTGGAACGAGGGATCAGAGGGCGCTTGGATGGGCGCGCGAAATTTGGAGGTGGAGAAATGAAAGTTACTGTTTAATTGTTTTTTCTTAAGAATAAAAAGGAGTAGTGATGAATGAGGAAAGGAGTTGTTGAAATGGGGGAGAGATTTAGGAGTGAAGTGTAATGGGTTCTAAGAAGGGATAAAGGGAAATTTATAGAGTTTATGAAATCCTTTTGACTTATTGAATTGATAACAGTATCTGAATGGTTTCCACAGGAAAATATCTGTGGGTTATAGTTGTTATCGAAAATGCCGTTTGAGTTTGTTATTATTAAAGGATAGGAGGTTCAATTGGTTTTAAAACTTTTCTTTAAGGAGATTGGTGGTTATATAGGGGGAGTTGTCTAGGTGGGACTTTGAGATTGCTAATGTTTACTATCTATTTTTAGGGAAATCTGGAATAGAATGGAAGGATTGTAAGGAAAAAGGTTTGGTTATAGAGGTGGAAGAGAAGGTGTTGTAATTGTAGGGTTGAACAGGAAATGAGGCCTTGAGAGTTTGAGGTATAATCTTTGCAAAAAGTTTCTCATGGAAAGAGTTGTTAAGGATGATGTAGGATTTGCTGTTTGATTTGTTTGTTTGGTAATGAATAGGTGGGATATTTGTTTTATAGTGTGACAAAAGAGAGTGTTTAAAGGGCGGAGAGCTGTTATTATTATTAATTTGGTTTTCCCTCTCGGCATTTTAAACTAAATCAAAAAAGGAGAGTCTTCTGGTTATAATATCAGTGCATATATTAATTATAG